TTTCAGCTTTATAATAAGAGCTTAAATTAAACGCGATGCTAAAATAAAGACAAATACTGTTTCTTAGCTGCATATATATTTATTTTCCTAGTAATCAATTACCCTTAAGACATTTCTTTGTTAATATCAACAGAAGAAAACGTTAATAATCTCTAATGTATCTTTCACATCTGCGCCTTAGCTATCATCACATAGGGGAAAGAGCTGGCTTAAGGCCAGCTTGGTATCACGGACTGAAAGTTTCTAACATTTTCAAAGAGGATAAGGGAACTTTGGAAATTGTTTAGCGTGTCCCTCTCATTGTATACACATAGCTGCACATGTATTACTATACCCATGTAACATCGAGCTATTACATAATGTACTGTAATTTAACTTTACGCTAACATTTCATTGCTTATCATTTTGTATTTGTGTAGTAAATTTAAATTAAATTTAAGAAAACTGCTTCACACGAAAGCAGGTGCTTTAGAAAGATAAATCTCTATCTCCAAATAGAGTATCTTTAACAGAATTATAAATAGAGCTACTTATATAATATGAATTATATAACTTGAGTAAAGTGAATCATAAGTAATTTACATAAATTGGATTAAGTGCTTTTAGAGTAAAAGTAAATATAATTAAACAAAAATTACTTATTTACACATATAGGTGGAAATCAGAAGTTGAAATGAAACTTATAACAAATAAAAATATTCCCATCAATGAATTCACAACGATTAGATACATATCGTTATCTAAGTGTCCTAAAATAAAAAATAAAATAAGGAGATAAAAATTTAGATGGTAATTGGCTCTTTGTGTAATTTGTATTATCTATGATACTCGTAGCTACATGTCAATTACGTATTATAGCTATTTCCTTTAGCGTACACTTTATAGGTTCCAGGTTCACTTTGGTTCACTTCCAATTTAACAAATCCGTTTCTCTAATTCTTTGCTAAAAAAACATTTTTTTCCTCTTAGCGCTATAATATGGGCTGTTTAAGAGTCGTGTCCTTAGGTCCTTTAAAGGCCCGCTACGCATTCTCAACTCCTCTTATCTTGCAGATGCCTATGCGCCACGATAGTCACTTTCCATCAGGTGGATCGTTTGCTTGTTTCTCTTTTACTATAAAAAAAATATATTATCGTTTATATAGAAACCAATTTTTTCCCGCGGCTTCGCTCGCGCGGTAAGTGGATATCAAAGGCATCGCATATCTATCCCCAGGATGCAATATATGTCCTTACCAAATTTTATCATAATCTGTTCAGCGTGTTAAGCTTGAAAGTTAACGGACAGAGTTACTTTTACATTTATAATATTGATATGGATTGTAAGTAGTTTATATAAAATAATCCGCAAAAATTCAACGGTCTTCAATCAAATCCTAAAACCGATATGACCGAATTATCTAAGGTAAAGCTGCTCGTTATTTCAACGAAAAATTGGAAAATTTTCAAACTTTCATGAAATAGATTAGCCAAGGCTTGTTAAGCTAAAAAGAAAATTCTCTAGTAAAATTATTGGATTCTTTATGGATAGATTAGTATTGAACAATTTTTACTTAGAAAAAGGATCAAAGTAAAAACAAATCTATATTACCATTATAAATGTGAAAGTTTGTGAGAATGGATGGATGGATATTTGTTACTCTTTCACGCCAGAACGGTTGAACGTATCTGGATGAAATTTGGCACAGAGATAATTTATAGTCTGGAATAACACATCGGTTACTTTTTATCTCGGAAATATGCACAGTTCCCGTGGGATAGATTTGTTTTTGTGTAGGGACGAACCCGAAACGAAGCAATAATAAGGTTTTACTCTTTTTTATAACTTCTTATCTTACCGATTATACAACTATTATACAACTATCTTAGATTATACAATTATACAACTATCTTTATGCATTGAATAGTTGTAATGTAGTCTTAAGGAAAAGATTTTTAAAAGTAAACATTTAAGAATTTATTTGCTGATATAAGGCTCTAGATATTTGATAGGTACTTGCTTAAAATTTCGTTAACGACGAAACCTTATCCACTATCCCCCACTATCTAGTTAGTTCATCCGTAACGTGGGTTATAAAAGGTATTGTAGAAAGTTACATTACCCTATTTTGATACTTCGATACATAACAATAGTTGTGTAAACTTTGCTTTAGGAAGTTGCGGTAAAATTCGCCAAACAAAGCCAAGTTTTTATTTTAGACACAGAAAATATATGTGTTTATTTGAATTAATTAGGGTCGACGCAGATCGTCTTTGATATCTCGGGATAAATGATAACAAAGTCTTGACAGTTGTTTGAAAACAAGGGTTATTTTCATTTTAAATTATTATTTTAATTATAATATAAGCAAGGAATATACTCATTTGTCATGTGTGATGTCTGAAAACCAAAAATAATACAAAGAAGGCATGTCTGAAGCAGATGTCAACGTATGACAATTAACAACAAGGACAGTTAGTTAATCGTTATTTGCGTTGAGTGAGAGGAGAAGAAAACTCCTGAAAGGAATTATGAGATAACTAGAAAACATTCGAAATTTCGAATACTAGAATATTCTTTGTTTATGCATTTAAAAAAAATTGTAACCATAAAAAAACTTACTGCTTATAATGTGAGTAAAAACTTTCTGGATGTAAAATTTGTGTTTTTATGTAAGTCAATAGTGTGTTTATTGATTTCTTACCGTAAATAAGTTGCAGAAAAATCTGGAAAATATAAGTTTTTTGATAAAATCCTGTTAACAGTTATACATATTCCTACGTGGATTTATTTACAATAGCATAGTAACGTCTATGGTGTTCCGGTCTTTGATGACATAAATGGTGGAATTTGCATTGGCGCATGTAACTCAATCGTGTATAATGAAACGTGGTTTGCCAATAGTTATTAACAATAGTTATGTTGTTAGCTAACAATATATCTGCTTATCAATTTGTCTAGTGACATGTAGGAGGGAATGCCAGGGTGAACAAAGAGCTGATTATTGAACAAATTGTAAAGGAAGTAGTAACCCAGTGGTAACACGTTCGCTTGGGAAATCGAGTGAAACGAGTTCGAATCCGGGACTTGCATTTCTAATATATTCATGTGCGAATCGTCATCATCCAACATGATTACCAGTTCTTACGTTGAAGGAAAACATCGTTAGTAAACCTGCATGTCTAATAAAACCTAGCAAGTTTTTGAAATAAATTTGAAGTCCGCCAACCCGCTCTTGACGTTTTGATCATGGTGGACTACGGCTTGATGCCTCTCGTGCCCAGCAGTGGGCCGTTAAAAAGTACTGAATATGTGTAGTATACACATAACTGTGAAATTTTTATGAGTAAAATAGCTTACAATTAAATGACCTGATAGCCTGAATGTATCTTTTTATCATTTATGCTTATGTCCATTGTCTAGTAACTCCCATCAATTATGTTTGATTGATGTTGACATCAACACTACTTTTTTTTTTAACGTTGGGAAATGCATTTACGCATGAGGTGTGGGATTCACCGGCAAAGCCATTACTACCCACTAAAACCCAACAAAGCCTTCCACCGTCTTAATGGGGCGTCGCAGGATCGCTTACGCATTCAACTATGACGCCCCGACGGCAGGTCTGCCAAAGCAGACCACAACAACCACGGGGTTCCTCCAAGGTCCACTCTGCTATCAGAGAAGTACCAGGAGCAACCCGCATGGTACACCGCCCTCCGAAGAGGGCCACCTCCCACCGCCCACCGAAGTGGGCCACCTTCCTGTGCGTTTCTTGGCTTCGAGCCCGGTTGGGTTGCCGGGCACTACTGAGCCCCCCACCACAACAAGGTGAACGCACGTTGGGGGGGTGACATCAACACTACTGCCCAAAGATCTACTACTATAAGATCATTACAGAGAAAGATCACTGATCAATTTCCCTTCATTTCCACTTACGAAATAACTGTAATATAAGTAATATAACGCGGAGGCTACGAAAAATCGGTTTGGAATGTATAAGATAAATAATTTAAAATGTAATTTTAACCAGTTAACTGTATTTTTATTTTTCAGGGTTTTTAGATATGCGTAAACTAATTAATTAATATATAAGGATATCATAATATTTTTGTCATATATTGCATTCTTATTAGCGATGTGTGGGTGTTGTTATAGGAATTGGCTCATTTAAGCTCTTCAGGTTTGGCCTGGACGTTAATGAATCAGACTTTATGCAAGGATTTTATGCAAGGATCTAATTTCAAAAATCTGTAGTAATCCTTAACCATTTACATAATACAAAAAAATGATTTAAATTGTAGGTTACAAAAATCTACGCTGTAGAAATAAAATTCAACGATAAATATTTCTCTGGACAGGAAATTTATTTGAACATTAGATTTTACTTTTATACAATAAATGTTTTCAGTTTTATACTAGCGCCAAAATAAATTGCTAGCATGAACAACAAAAGACGTACAATTCTAACATATTATTGCGGAAAAATGGCATACAACAAAGTATTAAATATATTTAATATATATCATCAAAACTAAATCAAAAAAGGTAGTGGTAGTACACTCGTTCGGAAATCCACGTGAAGCGGGTTCGAATCCCGGTACTCGCAACTCTTCATTCTCATTTGGGAATCATTTACAATGCGAATTACTACTGGCCTTACGGTAAAGGAAAACATCGTAAGGAACCTTATGCAGTTTTCCTCACAACGAAAGAACCTAGCAAGATTTCGAAAGACTTAATCTCCCTCGTACTTAAGGGAGGCCTGTGCCTAGCAGTGGGACGTTTGAAAGGGCTGAATACATACATAAATCAAAACGCCGCAAATAAATCGAAGCATTTATTTTTCTTCATTTATGAAGTGCACACGTCATGATGTTATCTCTTTAGGTCATTGATTGCAGAAACTGTACTAGTATAGATACCCAATCCCTTGCAAGGAAATTAGACAACCTTAATTCGGGCAGCTACTTTTGCTTTTTTTCATAATCAATCCATCATCAAGGTATATAGACGACGAATGATGTTGGTAATCTATCTAATAATATAATCTTTACATAGGTAGTACTAAAGTATTAAAATTAGCACCTCGTGCCTCGGATAGCACGTAAAGCTGTCGGTCCTGCATCTGATCACTCACTGGTCGTTTCAAATTGTCGTCCCACAGGAGTATGAGAACGATAAGAATAGAAAGTTCACTTGTCTGCTCGTATATTATAATATAAAGTCACATTGGTGCCGTGGCCGAGATAGGACATCACTGAAACAATCATGTTAAATTTTTGTTTTAAATGGTTCCTCCGGAATCCTTTAAAACTGAACTCAAACTGAAAATTTATTTTTCGTTATTAAGGTACAACATAAATAAAGGATAACTGTGTCGAAGTTAAAATAATTATTTATACCAAAAATTCACAGTCCACTTAGCAATGCAAAGATATATGAAAAATAAATTTCAATATGGATAAAACAAAAAACCCTATACCCTTAGGAAATCTTTTGAACAACATTCCCCGTTTATCCTCTGTTGTTTCAAGTTTAAGATTTATCGACAAAATATAAACATAACATATCGGATACCGTTAAATCAGTCTTGTAATAATATAAATCGATAAAACCTCAAGATACTCTATACGATTTTAGTAGAACATACAGTCGAGGAACAATAAAAGTACATATATATTATTTTAAGACTAAAAGCATTTGGTATTACTCATACAAAAGTTTTTAACATGCCAGCTGAGTGTTAGTCCAAGGGTGGTAATTATTGAATGGAGGTCAAGCATTCGACACGAACATTCCAATAATCGACTAATATTCACGTTACGATATTCCACATTCAAGTTTGTAACGTAATCATAGAACTAACACTAACAATGCCTAAGCACAAGCCCACATGACCATATGGCCTAAGAGCCTGTGAACGCCAGACCTTCGTCATTTTATAAAAGCTGAAAGTTTGTCAGCGCATGCTCCTAACACAGAACGATGGACCATTATGAAGTTCAGGCTATGGTGGCTTTGGCAGGTACACGGTACTAAAGGTGTGTAAAATACCGATCTAAATTCGTCAAATAATAAAGTGGGATTTTTTGGTATTACCTTCAGAATATTATTAAAAATCACGTCATTCAATGCCAGACACTTAACATCGTGGCAAACCCTTGCCAGACACCCTTTTCATGAAATCATAATTCTACTTACGTTATAGTATAAAAGCTGATTTTTATATATAATACTTGGGTAATAATTAGATGATTTATAAGACTGCTAGCATAGCATTTATTACACACCATGAAAAATGTTCCAAACAAGTTGGGAGGCATTTCTAAGAAAATGTTGCAAATGGTCACCAAATTTGAAGCGCTAAGAATTGACTTTATTTTTGATAATCGTTCTTATCTGTGTTGGGAGCATGTGCTGACAAACTTTCAGCCTTTATAAAATGACGAAGGCCTGGCGTTCACGGGCTCTTCCTCTAATAGAAGCGCTATATGATTTCTTTGTTTACTCAAAAGTATTACGTATAGTAGTTGTAGTAAGATATTAAAAATACTTTTAGAGCTTTATAATTTCTTTCTATATTTTAGCATTATACCTTGTACAAAATGATTGATTATCTTTTACTGATATAAAATACGTCGGCAACCTAATATCCTTGCTGTTTTGAGCTAAGCTTAAAAACTTTTTGCTATATAAAGTAACTTTGACATTATATTAATATTGCCAAACCGAAAGTATGGAGAACAGGCATTAAAAATAATTTGTTTAGGTTTTTTTAAAAGTTAATTTATTATTATACTTCGTTTTCTACTTATAGTAAATTGGATTTGAAGTATTTTTGTTTATATCTGCTTTAGCCCATTTATAGTTTAATATTTTATGGATATTTGACGTTTAAAGAATACTATGTTTTCAATTTTTTTACGGATTTATGTTGATTTTTGGTTACCAACGTTTCGAATGCAATCATGGTCACGGGAAAGCCTAAGACTATACCTTACAACCCTGTAAGAGGAGTGGGGAAACGGTATCATGGATGGAGCATATACCGTAGGCCACGTTCAAGTTTGGCACAGGAACAACCAGCTCAGAAATTGCAAAGATTGTCTTTTTTGGGTTGACTTTTCAATTAGTTGAAAACGTTTTGAATTACTCTCTCGTGACCGTAATTGCTGTATTCGAGTTGTCGGAAACCAAAAAATATCCGTTAGCTATTTTTATTTCTCAAGAAGTATTTACTTATAACAGTAATGAGTGTTCTATTAATATTTGTATACTGTTTTAAAATTATATTTTATTTTTAAACATTACTGTTTAACTTCATATTTAGTTTTTTGATACTCTTTCTATGTTATTCCTTAGCCTAACATACACCATCTCTTGAAATGTATTTGAAATGATTTCTTTTTCCTAATGAGACCCCAAGATTTAAATAAAACAACTGCATAACCGTTCGTTCAGAAAACATAGTATACTAGTAGAACCCGCGGCTTCTCTTGCCTCCCTAACTACAAAAAACAAGTTTGGCTTTATGTTACTTATATCATGGTGGGGGAGTTATAAGTAATTAATACAGAAACACCCATGCTCCCCCGCAAGGCCTGAGCCATCCTTGCGCCGTATATTCTTTTTTACTAAGGAGTATGTGTACCAATTTTCGAGTCAATCGACCTAGAGAATAAAAAGTTTTACAGAAAATTCAACCCTAGCTTTGATTTCCCTTTTGACCTTTTCAGGGGTAGAATTTCAAAAAAGCCTTTCTCAGTGGATAGACGGACACTTCACAAAGAACACACCCTCTAAATTTCATGTCTTTAGGACCAGCGGTTTAGACTGTGCTTTGATATATCAGTCAGTCAGGACTTTGAATTTTATATTATAATGCTAGCGGAACCCGCGGCCACGCCCGCATTCAATCTACAAAAAAACCTCTTTGGATTTATGTTTTCTTAAAAAAAAGGGCGTTGGGTGGGTAGAAGGGTGAAAAATACTTTACGACCTATTCCCATACCTACCAGATATAAAAAAAATCATTAAAATCGGTCGAGCCGTTTCGCAGGAGTGCGACCACAAACACCGTGACACGAGATTTTTATACATTAGATATCTAATGTAAACTTTAAATATTTTAAAACAACCCGTTAATTTAAAATATACGCTCAGATCTTAAAAGATCAAATAATTATTTAATCTCATATTATTACCATAATATATACAGGTATATAAAATTCAAAATCTATATATATATAAAAGAAAGTCGTGTTAGTTACTTCGCTTATAACTCAAGAACGGCTGAACCGATTTAGCTGAAAATTGGCAGGGAGGTAGTTTAGAGCCAGGAGAAGGACATAGGATACTTTTTATCCCGTTCGACCGCGTTCCAATTTTTATGATATTTTAATTTTTGGATTTCTCTTAGTCCGGAATAGGTAAGTATTAAAACATATAATTAAAATGTGAGAAAGAAAGATTTTTTCTTTTTATATCTATTTAAAACGTACCTAGCGACGAACCCGAGCGAAGCGAGGGTGAGCCGCTAGTCTATATATATAAAAGAAAGTCGTGTTAGTTACTTCGCTTATAACTCAAGAACGGCTGAACCGATTTAGCTGAAAATTGGCAGGGAGGTAGTTTAGAGCCAGGAGAAGGACATAGGATACTTTTTATCCCGTTCGACCGCGTTCCAATTTTTATGATATTTTAATTTTTGGATTTCTCTTAGTCCGGAATAGGTAAGTATTAAAACATATAATTAAAATGTGAGAAAGAAAGATTTTTTCTTTTTATATCTATTTAAAACGTACCTAGCGACGAACCCGAGCGAAGCGAGGGTGAGCCGCTAGTATATACATAAAATTCAAAATAGACTTCATTAAAAATCAACGCAATTATAATAAAAACTGTATTACTGAGCCAAATAGCGAGTACGATTTTTTAAATTAAACGTATGTACAAATATATGCTGAACAATGATAAAATTATTTTGATACTTTATATTATTTTCATTAAAACCTTTCTTTTTCAATAATATATTGCTAATTTAAAGGACGTATAGGGCCGGTACGTATAAGTGCGGTTAATAAAAAACATAATTAAGTATTTTAAATGAAACAAACTCATTTTGGGTAAATTCTCGGCTTCGTAAGGACTTTTTTTTTATTTTGCCTTTTTCTGGCTGTTACCATATAGGTTTCAAATTTTACTATTTTATTCCATGATTAAGATACTTTCTAACAACAACGACTATCCAATTAAATAAATTCAGATTATCATTATGTTTTTGTATGTTAATTGATAAACTTTTAATATCTTATTGCCCTTATTGCAGCCAATGGCGACAAAATGCTGGTACCGCTACTTGTAACTGCCTCGGTGGTGTAGTGGCTAGCATGTACGGCTGCACACCCGGAGGTCCTGGGTTCGAGTCCCGGCTCGGGCCAAGTTTAGTTATTGAGTCTTTCTGTATATTAAGCCTCAGTAACAGCCCGGAGTTGGGAAGTTGGCGGTGTTTCACCCCCGTGCCTCGGAGAGCACGTAAAGCCGTCGGTCCTGCGCCTTAACTCTCACTGGTCGTGTCGAATGGTCGTCCCACCAGAGTATGAGAGTGACAGGAATAGAGAGTGCACGTTGTGTCTGCGCGTACACTTGTGCACTATAATATCTCCTGCGCAGTTGGCTAGTCTCAATGAGATTGGCCGCCGTGGCCGGAATCGGTCAGGAGAACATCATCATCACTGCTACTTTTGAAGGACCTGCTTAAGATTACAAAGCTCAACAATAAATTAAATTTATTACTGAGTATATCGGCATTTTAAAAGCTCAATAGTATTAAACGTTAGATTCGACTGATCCTCAGGTTTTTTTTCACTTTCATTACGAACTATACAACTCATCAGTTGATTTATAAGAACAAAATGTTGACCTTATATTTATTTTAGAACATTATTCAGCCAAATCTCGCATTTACAGAGCGAAAAGGGGAAATTAATTCTTTCCGGTACAAACAGAATGATTTAAGGAAACAAATATTTCACGAGATTAAATCGTATAGAGTAGCAAGCCCGCACGAGATGGCAAACTACATTATGTTTTATTTGCTCATGATTCTATTCAAAGCGAACCAATTTAAGTTTTTAATACGATACACGAAACGCTAGCTTTGCATAAAATGGGTAAGTTAACATTCTCCAGATTTTTGTGAGAACTAATTTTGGAGCGGATATTTGGAGTGGAGCTTACAGGTTACAAAAAGATTGTAATATTTTTAATAGCCTGCCTGTCGTAGAATGTCGGCGCACCTAATTCCGAGACATAATATAATTTTACTACTGTAAATATTTTTTACTATATTTATATTATTATACTAGCGGCTCAACCTCGCTTCGCTCGGGTTCACCTCTAGGAAAACAAAAACAAACCTTGCCCACGGGAACTGCACATTTTTCCATGATAAAAAGTAGCCCATGTGTTATTCCAGACTATAATTTATCTCTGTGCCAAATTTCATCCAGATCCATTTAGCCATTCTGGCGTGAAAAAGTAACAAACATCATACATACTCACAAACTTTCACATTTATAATATTAATAATACGGATTTTTATATATTTTTTTTAAATGCGTTAATTTTTATATCTATTATTGGTTAAATATAAAGAATATTTCAGTAATTTTATTTTTTATAGGTACGCGCCATTGATTAACATAGAAACAAAGAAATATGTATGTTAAGTTAGATTTAGTTTATAAATTAAAAACACCAATTGTAGGTACTAATAGATACTTTAGTGGACTTATTATAGTGACATTTTATTTAACGATATTAATGATCTGTGTATTAAGGAAAGTGTTTGTCATCGCTCTACCAATTGTAATTGCAGCACGATCGCGTGAGTTTAGCAAATGATTCCACACAATTACTTTGATTTTCTACGACACGGTAAAAGGACATTAAAGTAAGAAAATTAACCGACTTCTTAAACAGTAGTTCTTACCTAAGTATCAGTAATAAATGTCAAGAACACTATATAAGATTATAATTTAATTTGTAACAAGCATGTACTCATCACCTTTGACAACGATTAATTTGAATAACGAGTATTAAAAATATTAATTAGGTGACAAGTTCGTTTTTGGGATAAAATGATAATATTAATTTAATCCACTTTCTGTATATATTCCTCGTCCGGCTTAATCATTCCTCGTCCGGCTTAATCATTCCTCGTCCGGCTTAATTGCCGTGTAGACGTGTACTCAATATTGTTGCTTATTTGTGTTTAATAAAAGTGCGAGCAATCAAATATCAATCTTAAAGCATAGTAATAAAATCCATTTTTTTATAACTCTGTTATAATCTAAGATAAGACCACTAGCGATTCATTGCGTCTACGCATCATTAGTGTACAGTATAGGCAAAATAGTGTGATGCTACGATCTCCAACAAACAAAGATGGTAAATATTCTTCTCAACCTGACTTGGCGAGCACCAATAAAACCGACTCGGAGTCATCGTCGAGTTTTGTTGCAGTTCGAAAACGTAAAGAACGGAGCGAATTTGAGGAATTGCGAGAGGAAATACAAATTTTAATAACAACAATAAAAACAGGTCAAGAAGCAAAGTTTGAAAAAATCTTTAAAAGTATTGAGGAACTAAAGTTACAGAATAATACTTTAAAAATTCAAAATGAGAAAATTTTAAGTTCTAATGAAATAATAGAGAAGAAATTAATGCAAACGGCTGAACTATACAATGATGTAAAAAAACGATGGCTATCCTTCAAGATGATCATAATAAGGCAATCAATTAAATTACAGCTCTAGAAGAAGAAGTAGAAGAAATCCAACGTCACCAACGCTATTCCTTTATTGAAATAACTACACCAATAAACGAAAATGAGAATATCCTAGAAATGGTAACAAACATTCATGAGACCATTGGTTTTAAGCCTATGGAAGAGAGTATCAGACAATGTTATAGAATGAAACAAGGAACTAAAAAACCTATATTAGTTGAATATCGAAATGGGCAGAAAAGAAACGAAGTATTAAAACTAGCAAAAATATACAACAAGAATAACAAAGAGAAATTAAATACGGATATATTCGCTAAGCAAAAAATAAAGGAACGTATTTACATCAATGAATTTCTTACACCTAATACAAGAAAATTGTACTACCATGCCCGCCAACTACAGAAATTATACGGATTTAAATACTACTGGATATCAAGAGGAAGAGTCTATATTAGAAAAAATGACGGTGATCCGGCTATACTTGTCAAATCTTTGGAGCAAATTGAAAGTGGAAGCCACCATATGACTAGCATGTCATTTTACATGGTATACTACTAAATTTATTATAGTTTTAGTGTTTGTTTTTGGATTTTACTTTATTGTACTTTTAGATTTTAAGTCTTGCTTGCATTGTTTGTTACAAAATGTTACGTTAGTTTATTTTAGAAATTTACAAATTTATGTTATACACACACAACAAAATTACACATTGACATTCTTTTACAGACATATAATATACATATTACACAAATCTCTGGTATTATATCTATGGAAACTGTCTTCAAAATAATTTTCCTAAATCTGCCCACATCATCATATCATTACTGCATGAAATCTGTTTTTGATAATGGTTAACATTCTGAAACTACAAGCTGATTTTTTTATTAATTTATTTTTTATTTATTTATTAGGTTTATTTACAATCACTTACAATAATACACACAATATAAAAAAAAATACAACTAAAAATTAGGAACTAAATGTAGTGATTACTTACAAATAAACACAGCATGCACAGAAATAAAGTTTCTTAAAATATTATACAGAATAGATATATTTTAGAAGTAAATAGTTTTTTTTTTATTAATCAATGAGCAGATACACAGTTACATTAATTTAGCAATTATAACATTATTTAAGACTATCAATGCATTTATTTAGGAATTTGTTGCTAATGGTTTTGCGGAAATTGGCTAAGGAATCAGCAAATATGTCGACATCTATGCTATAAGAATTTAGAGTCTTACATAACCGTGGGACTGGGGAATTGGCACCTAGGATCGTTCGGCGAAGTGGAGGACAAAGTGGAGCAATAGGCTTACGTGGTATTCTTACTGGAACTCTTAGGCTAAATTTATTTAGCAATTTGGGGCAATCAATAAAGCCGTTCAGTAATTTATGAGTAAACAAAATATCCAGAAGTTCCCGGCGTTCATACAATGCAGTCATTCGGAAGAAGGCCAACCTTTCTTTGTAAGAAGAAATTTTCTTGGCTTTACCAGCACTGAAAACCAGATGCCACAGAAATCGTTTCTGAATACGTTCCAGTCTTAGGATATGCGTAGCGTAGTGAGGACGCCAGACAACTGAACCATACTCCAAGATACTCCTAACCAAACTAAAATAAAGGAGCTTTTTAATTTGTAAACTTTTAAAAATTTTAGTGTTACGTGTAACAAATCCGAGCATTTTAGAAGCACGTTTTACTATATTTTCTATATGGGGAAGAAAAGTCATTTTTTTATCGAAAGTTACCCCCAGATCCTTAATAACTTCCAACGTCTCTAAAGCATGTTCTTTTATATAGTATTTATACGTAACGTAACTTGATTTTCGAGTAAATTTTACTTGATAACATTTTTCCTTATTTAAGTTCACACCGTTAATTTCACACCATTGCATAAGTCTTTTTAAATCATCTTGAAGAATCTTACAATCACTCGGGGAATCAATAGTTTTTGCAAATTTTAAATCATCAGCATATATAAACACAGAAGATGCCAGAAAACAATTGGATATGTCGTTAATAAAAATGTTAAACAATACGGGACCTAGATGTGAGCCCTGAGGCACACCAGATGTAATCTGACGTACGTCAGATTGAAAACCATTAACAGCAACAAAGAACGAGCGAGCCTCTAAATATGATTTCAGCCAGATAAGGAGAGATCCAGTAAATCCATATGCTTGTAATTTACATAAAAGAATATCGTGTGGGACAGTATCAAAAGCCTTACTAAAGTCAGTATATATGACATCTACTTCCTTATTTTTATCTATTGCATTGACTATAGTTTCAGTAAAAGATACCAGATTAGTGCATGTGGATCTGGAACCAGAAAATCCATGTTGGTCGGAGGAAAGATCTGATCTTGATGATAATACTAATATAGGCACAGCAGTCGTGATTGATGATATTGGGCAATGCAAAGGGATATTAAACTCTGGCAGTTACTTACGCATTTTAACACAAAATATACGTAGTATTAATAAGAATTTTGATGGGCTTACGGTTCTTCTCCAACAACTAGAAATTGAACAAGATATAATTATATTAACAGAATGTTGGCTATCTAAAGTTAACTTACTACCTACATTACCAAATTATAATCGATTTAATACAAAGCGGAACCTTAATAAAAATGATAGAGTTGTTATGTTTATAAGAAAATCTCTTCAGGTTAAGGTAATAGAACCACAAAATACGAAAGATCTGACGTGTCTGGTGGCTTGTCTTAAAGATACAAACATCATAGGCATTTATAG